TTTTCTTAAAAAGCTTGTACATCTTCAAGAACAATTATTAGCCTATGTTTTGGACATAAAATGTATAAAAATGTAATTCTGTGATATCAGTAACTGAAAGAGTTGGGAATGGAATTACATAGGAGCAGAGTTTTTGTATGGTATTGAAGTTAGGTTGATATAAATTCAAATTAGAGTGTTAATAATTTTTGAATGTTCAACATAATCTCCATGGTAACCACCAATAGCTATAGAATATACACAAAAGGAAATGAGAAGGGAATTAAAGCATTTTACATTAAAAAAAAGACAGTAATATAGGAAATGGATGACAGAAAAGCCATATAGAAAACAAATAGCAAAATCACAGAAGTAAATCCTTCATCAGTAATTACTTCAAATGTAAATGGATTAAACTCTCCAATCAAAAGACAGAGACTGACAGAATGGATGTTTAAAATATTCTCCCACTGTATGCTGTCCACAGAGACTAACTTTACAGCCAAAGACACAAGTAGGTTGAAAGTGAAAGAATGGAAAAACATTTCATGCAAATAAGTTTCCATACGAAAAAAGTTACAACACAAATTTGGACATTTTTATATCACAATAAAAGGTTTTATACAGCAAGAAGGTGTAACAATTATAAACATTTGTGAAACTAATAACAGACCAGGAAAAAATATGATTCAAAAATTGACAGGAAGAAATAGTTTTACAATAGTTGGAGACTTCAATACCCTGCTCTCAATAATGGAAAAAAGTCATTAAGGAAATAAAGGTCTTGAACAATACAATAAACCAATCAGAACTAACAGAAATGTACACAATACTCTAACCACCACCAACAGAAAACATTGTTCTCAGGTGCACGTAGGACATTTCTATGATAGACCACATTAGGTCACAGATTAAGGCTTAATAGGTTTTAAAAGATATTATGCAAATTATTTAATCTCAACAGGATGAAGTTAGAAATTGATGAAAGGCAAATTGGAAAATTCACAAATTTGTGGAAATTAAATAATGCATGCTTAAACAATCAATGAAACAAGGGAGAAATCACAAGGAATATTAGAGAATACCCAAGATGAAAGAAAACAAAAACACAGGGCACCTGGGTGTCTCAGTCAGTTAAGTGACAGACTCTTGATTTTGGCTCATCATGATCTCAAAATCATGAGATTAAGCCCCAGGTCAAGCTTTATGCTCAAAGCAGAGTCTGCTTAAGATTCTCTCCCTCTCCCTCTGGGCCTCCCCCTCCTGCTCACATGGACGCATGCATGCTATCTCTCAAAAAGAAAAAAAAGGAAGAAGAAAGGAAGGAAGGAGGGAGGGAGGGAGGAAAGAAGGAAGGAAGAAAGGAAGGAAAGATAGAAAAGAAAGGAAGGAAGAAAGAAAACAAAAACAACATACCAAAATTTATGAGATGTAGCAAAAGCTGTATGGAGGAAGCCTATATTAAAAAAGACAAATCTTAAATCAACAACCTTACTTTGCAACTTAAAGAACTAGAAAGAGAACTAAACCAAGAGCTAGACAAAGTTATGAAATACTAAAGATGGGGCGCCTGGGTGGCTCAGTCGTTAAGCGTCTGCCTTCGGCTCAGGTCATGATCTCAGTCAGGGTCCTGGGATCGAGCCCCGCATCGGGCTCCGTGCTCCACAGGAAGCCTGCTTCTCCCTCTCCTACTCCCTCTGCTTGTGTTCCCTCTCTCACACCGTGTCTCCTTCTGTCAAATAAATAAAATCTTAAAAAATATATACTAAAGACTAGAGATTTAAAAAATAGAGAATAGAAAAATAGAGAAAAATCAACAAATCCAGAAGATGGTTCTTCAAAAAGTTGAACAAAATTGACCAACCTTTAGCTAGAGTGACTAAAAGAAGAAAGAAGACTCAAATTACTGGAATCAGAAATATTAGTGGGGGCATTACTACCCATTCTACAGAAATAAAAAGGATTACAAGAGTACTATGAACAACTGTACCACAAAAAATGGAACCTAGATGAAATAGACTAATCCTTAGAAACACAAATCCTATCAAGACTGAATCATGAAGAGAATATCTGAATAAACTTATAATTAGTAAGTATAATGAATAAACAACCAAAAACCTCCTCACAACAAAGCTCTTGACCCAGTGACTTTATTGGTGAATTCTACACATTAAAGAAATAGCACTAATCTTTGTTAAGATTTTCCAAAAACTTGAAGAGAACAATTCCTAATTCATTTGCCCTGATACCAAAGCCAGAAAATGATAGTATAAGAAAAGTACAGACCAATATCACTTATGAACATGGGTGCAAATATCTTTAACAAAATACTAGCAAACAGAATTTAGCAGCACACTGAAAGGATTATACACCATGTTTAAGTGGGATTTATTCTTGGAATGCAAGGAAGTTTCAACATATGAAAATCAGTCAGTATAATACACCACATTAACAGAAGGAAAAAACATAGGACCCTATCAATTTATGGGGAAAAAAAGCATTTGACAAAATCCAACACCCTTTCATGATAAAAACACTCAACAAGGTAGGATAGAAGGAAACCACTTCATATATATCAGGATAGATACTATTCAAACATCTTTTAGATTTTTTTTAAAGATAAAACAAGTGTTGGTGAGGATGTGGAAAAATCAGAACCCATGTATACTGTTGGTAGGAATATTAAATGATAGAGCAACTGTGGAAAACAGAATGGCGGTTCCTCAAAAAATTAAAAATATAATTACCATATGAGCCAGTAATTCCACTTCCAGATATATCTATAAAGAAAGCAAGGGGGCACCTGGGTGTCTCAGTTGGTTAGCTGTCTGCCTTTGGCTCAGGTCATGATCCCAGAGTCCCAGGATTGAGCCCCACATCGGGCTCCCTGCTCAGCAGGGAGTCGGTTTCTCTCTCTGCCCCTCAGCCTACTCATGCTCTCTCTTGCTTGCTCTCTCTCAAATAAAATCTTAAAAAAAAAAAAGAATAGAAAGCAAGGTCTCAAGGAGATATTTGTATACCCATGTTCATAGCTGCATGGTTCACAATAGCTAAAAGGTGGAAGTAAACCAAATATCCATTGACAGATGAATGAATAAGCAAAATATGGCATAAAAATACAATGGCATATTATTCAGCCATAAAAAGAAATTCTGACACATGGCATAAAACATGGATGAACGTTGAGGACATTATGCTAAGTGAAATAAACGACTCACAAAAAGACAAATACTAGATGACTCAATGCATATGAGGTACCTGAAGTAGTCAAATTCAGAGAGACAGAAAGTAGAAGGGCGGTTTCCAGGGGCTTGGTGGGGCGGGGGGGCTTTGAAATTATTGTTTAATGGGTACAGACTTTTTGTTTTGCAAAATGAAAAGAGCTCGGGATGTGAATGGTGGTGATGGCTGTACAATATGAATGTACTTAATACCCCTGAACTATGCACTTAAAGATGGTTAAGATGGTAAATTTTATGTTATGTGTATTTTACCAGAGACTTTTTAATTTAAAAAATAAAGCATAAAAAATTGTGATGGATTCACTCAAGAGAGCACTAATCAACAGCAAAAGGAATGAACTGTTCATACATACAGCATGGATAATTCTCAAGATAATTACACTGTAAAAGAAAATAGACCAAAAATAGGCTGTAAATACTTTATGATTCCAGTTGTATAAAATTCTAAGAAAGGCAAACAAATCTGTAGTAAAAAAAAAAAAAAGAAAAAAGGTAAATCATGGTTTTCTGGGAAGGCATGAAGGATAGTAAAGGGCACGAGGTAGCTTTGTGGGGGATGGATAGGTCCACTGTCATTGTCATGGTTCTGGTGTTGGTTCCCTGAGTGTATAGATACTGAAAAACTTCTCAAATTGTACACATCAAATATGTACAACTGTTGCATGACAATTATATCTCAACAAAGCATTTAAATAAATTGTTGCACATAAAAATCTGATCTCCGATTCATTTTAGAAAATTAGATTTGGCAACCCTACATTGACTCTCTTCTCTGTCTTGGCAGCAAAAATGGCTGGCTATGTGACAAATGCTACATCCCTGGAGTACAGGATCTACCTTCTCTCAGCCCCCATTCTCCTGCCAATGCAGCAATGGCTGTGGCACGAATAGTGCAGAGAGACTTAGTACCCACAAAACCTTTAGATTTTTGCTTTGTCAGTGACCTGAGTCATAGGACAGAGGTCTGGAGGTCCTGAGAATTTCTGCAAAGCCTGAATTCTGCACAGTCACATTCGAAGGAACATTTGTGGATGCACTTTTAGAACAGGTACATTCCCTTTAGTTTGCTGCAGACTCGTCTACTTCATCATCACCTCCAGTGTTTCCATACAAATTATGGTCTCAATTGGGCCCAGTAAGTCTTACAGTTAGGACACCTGTATACCAGATGCTAAACTTCAAGGCATATGGCTCCTTGGCAGGTGCCAGGTAAACAGTGTCTGCTTAACAGTGCTAGGCAACATGAGGCATCCCGTGGAAATGGGGCCCTATTCATGCTGCTCCCAGACACAGAGGAGGTTGTCACAACTGCCCCGTCCTCAGGGTAATCTCTGGCTCACAAAAATTCATGCCATTCAGATCACGTTAGGCCCACAAAGTCCTACCATCTTCCCCAGGAAGCCTTGAGTAGCAACACAAAGGAGGCCAAATCTGGACTGAGAGCTATTCTCCACTATCCTGCTCTTTCTGAGGCAATACATTTGGAGACCCTTTTAGTTCGGTAGACCTTAACTGTGTTCTCAACCCACTTCACAGTCATCAGAACACATGGGATTAAAGGTGGCTTTATCACTAAGGCAATGTAAAGTAGGTAGTTGTTGGGATGGGTAATGTGGAGTCTGGATAAATCCATCATGAGCATCATATGAGATCTTCCCTTGAAAGAAGGGAAACCTTCTCCAAAAGCCGCCAGGAGAACCCAGCTCAGGTCTTTACGGTCAAAGATGGGTCATATCCACAGCTACATTGGTCACAGAAGGAGGGAATAACATCTTCCTTTGGCCTCAGGCTACTCAGGATTCCCTCTTGGCGAAAGAGAAGAGGTCTGAACACAGGGACTGGCTGACACGTGCTCCTGGAGACCTGCCAGAGCTCAATGGCTTCTACCACAAACACAGTGACAAAGGTCTGGTAGAGTCCACGGTGAGAAAATGTTACTTTGTTCCAGAGACCTTCCAACATAACTAGCATTCATAGGGAATCTGCCCAGTGTGGACACTGGGATGAAGAAGGTTCAACCTCTGGCTGATGGCCCCCTCGTAAAGACTGTTCTCAGAGCTTATCTCCACTGCACATCGTTGTGCTGGAGGAGGGTGCACATTCTCTGCACTCCTTTCCCTAGAGTGAATTTTCTGGTGCCGGACGAGGGTAGGCCTCTGGCTGAAGGCTTTTCCACATTCGCCACACTTATATGGCCTGTCTGGTTTGTGAACCTTCTGGTGTTGCCTCAGATTAGACCTTTGTCTGAAGGTTTTCCCACATTCGAGGCACTCATAAGGCCGCTCACCGGTGTGAAGTCTCCGATGGTTATTGAGGCTGGAGCTTTGGTTAAAGAACTTCCCACATTCGGGGCACTGATAAGGCCGTTCACCAGTGTGAAGTCTCCGATGGCTATTGAGGCTGGAGCTCTGGCTAAACAATTTCCCACATTCGATGCACTCATAAGGCCGTTCCCCAGTGTGGACTCTCTGATGCTTCATGAGGTCGGAGCTCCGGCTGAAGGCTTTCCCACATTCACTGCACCCGTAAGGCCGTTCACCAGTGTGGACTATCTGATGTTGGATGAGACTGGCGATGTGGCTGAAGAATTTCCCACATTCGTTGCACTTATAAGGTCTTTCTCCAGTGTGAACCCTCCAGTGCTTTATGAGGCTGGAGTTGCAGTTGAAAGACTTCCCACACTCACTGCATTCGTGAGCGCTTCTGCCCGTATGAACCCTCTTATGATGAATGAGGTTGGAGCGCTGGCTGAAGAACTTCCCACATTCGCTGCACTCGTAAGGCTTCTCTCCTGTGTGCACCCTCTTATGCTGAATGAGGTTGGAGCTTCGGCTGAAGAATTTCCCACAGTCACTGCACACGTGAGGGCTTTCCCCAGTGTGAACTCTCTGATGTTTAATGAGACTAGAGTGTTGGCTAAAGAACTTCCCACATTCGCAGCACTCATAAGGCTTTCCTCTATTGTGATCTCTCTGGTGCTGATAGAGGCCGGAAGCGTGGCTAAAGAATATCCCACATTTGTTGCACTCATAAGGCCTTTCTCCAGTGTGGGTTCTCTGGTGCTGAACAGGTGTGGGCTTGTCACTGAAAGCATTCCCAAATTCACTGCACTTGTTATGGCTCTGCACGCCAGTTCTCTGGGGTGGCTCCTCCACTCTGTGAGCGACCTGATGCCACAGAAAGCAGGATGTGGCTGTCCCACGCACAAAGTCCTTCCCATCCTCCCTGACTGTGAAAGGTTCCTTTGATGTGTCATCTCTGCAGCTCTTCACAGGTGAGGCCCTGTCCTCATCCCTTCTGACAGGCTTGTCTATATTCTGCTGCATCTGATGCTGGTAAAGGTTTGCATTGGACTTGATCCCTCTCCCAGCCACCTCACACATGTCTGGTTTCTGCCTGGCATGTGTTGCCTGGTGTTCAGTCAGGTGCAAAATGTCTTTCAAGTGCAGGCCACAGGTGTCACAGGAGTAGTCCTTCTGGTTGGACAGAGCCGCCTTGAGCTTCCTGTCCTGTGACACTCCTTCTGCAGACACTCTACGCTCACCCTCCGTTCCACAGCAAAACCCTGAAAGCAGAGAAGTGCTGGTGAAGTTCCTAGGAACTCAGATGGAAGGAAGTAGCCCTGTGACAAATCATGCCTGACCCTGGCATGAGTCCTCAGGACTGCTGGCAAGAAGAAGAGCCTGAGGTCAGGGTAAGGATGTCTGCTCTGCAGTACTGTGCCTGGCAAGGTCACAAACCAGGGAGGCCTTGCCAGGACCCAGGACACAAGGATGGGGTACAGTCTTAGGCCGGAAGGCGGGGTTTCCAACTCACTTCTTTCTAAAGGCTTTCCAGCAGGGCCTTGGCCACTGCTAACACACGGAACCCTGTGCAGAACGGTGTGTCCAGGCCCAGGAAAATCTGATTGCAACTGAGTGGCCGCTGTTTAAGGACTATGAAAGGGAATATGCACCTATCGTGCCATAGTAAGTGTAGGTCCACGTTGGAGACGGTCACAGAAGGAGCTGGGGAAAGAGTGAGCCAGGGGCCGCAAGTCGGAGCAGAAATGACAAGTGGGCGATGTGTCAAGAACAGGAAAGGAAAGGTAGAAGAGAGATGGGGCCATTGGCTTCGGCACCAAAACAATGATGAACATGAGAAAAACTGCAGGTGTGATTTGAAGACAGCAATGACGTCACATGTCCCCGCATCCCCTACTCACCAGAGATAGGTCCGCTGTACGCCCCTCTTGCCATGGCTGATGTCATATCCACCCTGTCAGGCACCCATGGCTCTGCCCCCATCTGCAGCTGGGCGACTATGTGAGACCTGAAGGAGGTAAGTCCTGAGGGAAAGACAGGGCAGGTAAGTGGCCAGCACCTGGCCAGGTGAACCACCTGATGACAGACCAGAGGAAAGAAATTGAAATATTACAACAGGAACACACAGGGAGGTATAGCAGGCACATCCCAGTGGTCACAGCAAGTGGTAACCACATCAAGGCCAGGGTTCCCAGCAGTCAGGCCCTAGGAAACACGAGCTAAAGGACATGATCACCCAGGCAGAGAGTGGCCAACCCAGCCGGGATCCACTGGGCTACCTGCAAGACTCCTCACTGCCGGCCCCTTCCCCACAATGCTTTGGGGCTGCTCAGGAAGAGGATGGGACACTGCACTTGGCGTGGGCCTGGAATGTACAGCACATATCCTGGGAGAGTGGGGCAGGAAGCGGTGCCCATAGGTCTGGCCATGGGAAGGAAAAGGGGACAGGCAGAAACGGGCTCAGGACACCCAGTGCGTGTGAAGGCCTTACCCAGTGAGGCTATTAGTGCAAAGTTCTCCAGCATCACGTCGCAGTACAGGAGCCTCTGAGCCTCATCAAGGAGCCCCCACTCCTCCTGGGAGAAGTAAATGGTCACGTCCTCAAAGGTCACACAGCCCTGCCATGATGGGGACAGTTCATTCCAGGATCAGCTTCTCTCCTCAGGCCTCCCCATCTGTCCCCTGCTCCCCCTCCTCCCCAGCTTCCCAACTGAGAGGAGATCCCAGGCCCTGACTTCACTGGTGTTTGCTCCGTTCTGTGCCTCACCTGACCTCTGTGTCAGTCCATAGCATCAACAGGCAGGTGGGCAGAGGGACACCACGGCCCAACCCCCTCCTCTGCGGGCCCCCTCCCATGTCACCAACATCATGCTTCCCACACACAGACATGGACTCAATCTTCTCCCTTAAGTGCCAGTACCAAGGCCCTGGGGCCAACAGCTCACACTCACTCCTATATGCATATCACTTCTTGGACTGCACTTTCCTCAGACTCTGGACCTCACCACTGCACCCCACTGTCACTGTACTCTCTCTCCATCCCAGCCCACATCATAGCCATTGCCACGGACCCTCACATGTCACTCTGCACACGACCTGCAGAAAGTTCTTAGCAAATCCAACCATGATCCCATCTAGATCCTTGGATGGCTCCCACTGCCAAGGGCAACACCCACCAGTGATCTGAAGGTCTCCCTACCCAGCTCTTTCCTGGCTTCAATCTAAGCCACACAGAGCCACAGAGATATCAGATACCCTTGGGCCTCTTCCTCTTCTATGTTGCACATGGGTTCTCCTATACCCACCCACTCAGGGTCACCCATTCCCAGCTGACCCCATTTGCCCCTGAGCTAATTCCCCAGCCCAACTGAAAACCCCCGGCCCCATCAAGGGGCACCACAGACGCCTGCTGAGGATGCAGAGGGGTGAATAAGCACCAGTCCAGGGCTCGCTGTAATACTACCTCCATTACTACTGAGCCTCCCCATCCTTCCCATACCTACACCACCTGCTAGACCCCCTTCCCCACACAGAAACACCATCACCACCACCACGACCACTGCTCCTCCATCTCCTCCAGGGTCTTGATGATGCCAAACAAGCCAACCATGGTGTCCCACCAAGAGACCCCGTTCTCAGTTCCCAGGCCCTGCCTTCCTCTTTCTAACACCATTGCCGCCTTGACCTGAAGGTTCACCTTCTTGAACTGGACACACAACCACACCCTTGTCCACACACCAGATGCCACATTTTAGATGTTTTAACTGTGGAAAGACTAACCAAGTAAGAAAAACAAAGGCTATTTATACTGAGCTTGCAACAGCAAGGGAGGGAGCCTCTGTTGCTTATGCTTTGGCAGACTCAAAGTTTTATAGCAGAAAAGGGAAGGCTTCAGATGTGCCCTGACTGGGGGGTGCTGGCCCAGAGAAGCTGCAGGCAGGCTAACTAGAAGCGGGGCATCCTATGTGATCGGTTAGGGGTACATATTTGCTTTTCTCTGCCTGGGCCAAAGTTGGAAGTAGGAACAAATATTAGGGAAGCTGTGAGTTATTAATCCAGCTCTGGTCATCTGGGGCCGGTTGTTACAGAAGTTACTGTTCCCGGATTGTCACTCGAGATAGCAATCTGGCTTCCTGTGAGTCTAATTTAAGCACGCTAGCTTCCTGGGTTGTTTATTGTAGATAAAGAGGTTGGTTTCCTGGGCAGGTCCCTGCAGGTTGTGGGTAAGAATTCTATTTTTACATATGGTCTGGCCTTTGTCCCTTTGTGTATTTGGTCTCTCATAACCTTAACTATACCACCCCCAAACACCATAACCAGTGGCTAGCTGCCCACTCAACTTCATTCAGGGGTCTCTGGAACATCAGAGCTTAGCAGGGCCAAAACCTCACTTCTGCTTTTATATTGAAAACTCCTTCTACAACCAACTTCTCCAGCTCCGTCCCGCATCCATCCTTCCAGCTGCTGAAGCCAAAAACCATCCCTTCTCTTTCTCACCTTCCACATCAGAAAATCTGGTCAGCCTGACTTAAAAGCCGGATCCAGAATCCAATCACTTCTACTTCCAGCCACCTGCAGTACTCCCCTGAACTACTGCAATAGCGGACTCCCTGCTCTCCCTGCCTCCACCCTTACCCCAAGTCCGTTTTCCACTCTGCGTCCACGGGGAGCCTGTCAAGACCCGAGTCAGATAATCTTCCTCTTCTACTGGAAACCGTCTATGGCTCCCAACACCCTCAGAATAGAGGCCCAGCTCCTCAGCCCGCCATTCCGGGGCTGTCTCCCACCTGCTCTCCGGACACTCAGCTCAATCTCACCGCCAAGACTTTGCACACGCCAGTCCCTGTGCCTAGGAAACCCTTCCTCGCCTCCTGCCCCTAGATTTCGGAAATGAGAAGCGCTCTGTTATCATCTCCGGCCTGGATCCAGCACCCCAGGCTGGGCGTAGCTCCCCTCCAGCGCCCCCAGACTCAAAAGCCGAGGAGAGGTGGGAGAGGAGAGAAGACAGACAAGGCCCACCTCCGCGGTCCGGGCGCCAGGCACGAGGGCGTGGGGGTCGCGGTGGCTACTTACGCACTCACCTGTGCCGGGTCCCTGAGTGCCGCCGCCGCCATCGGTGCCCGGGCTCGCAGCGGAGCCGCCGGAGACAGGTCAGGCCCCGGTAACCCCCGGCTTCGCCTGGCCCCGGGCGCGGCGGGCCCTCGGGCCTCGGGCTTCCGGCTGGTGCAGGCGCGCGGGCCGCGGGGCGGAGTAGGGTCCCAGCCCCCCGGTCTCGGCCCCCTAGCTCCGGAAAGGCCGGGGGACGCGGACGCGCACACCCGGCCCGGGCCGGGACTGGCAGGCCTGGAATGCAGGAAGTTCCGGCCGGAAGCGGCGCCGCGCTCCCGGGCTGTCATTGGCCCCGCGCCAGGCACGGACTCCAGGTTCAGTCTCCCCCGCCGGCGTTTCCCGTCCCGCCCACGGCCGCGCTGGAGGGCTGTGCTGGGGGCGGTGCTGGGGGGGGGATGCCGGGGGAGGAGTTGTGCGGGGGGGCGGGCGGAGGTGGTGATGGGAGGGCGGTGCTGGGTGGTGGGGTGAAGGGGGCGAGGTGCTGGGTGGGTGGTTCCGGGGGCTGTCGGTGCTGAGTGGGTGGGGGGCCATGCTGGGAGGGCGGTGCTGAGTGGTGGTCCTGGGGACAGTTCTGGGAGGTGGTGCTGGGTGGGCGGTGCCAGGTGGTGGTGCAAGGGGCGGTCATGGGCCGTGGTGCGACTGGGGAGGTGCTGGGAGGGAGTGCTGGGTGGTGGTGCGGGGGGCGGTGCTGGGAGGTGGTTCTGGGAGGGCGGTGCGAGGGGTCGGTGCTGGATTGTTGTGGGTGCGAGGGGGCGGTGCGAGGGGCGATGCTGGGAGGTGGTGGTGCAGAGGTGGCGGTGCTGGGGAAGTGCTGGTCGTGGTGCGGGGGCGGTCGTGTGGGGACGGCGCTGGTGGGCGGTGCTGGGGGCGGTGCTTGGGAAGTCGCGCAGGGGGCGGGGTGAGGGTGCGAGTGGGCGGTGCGAGGGCGGGGGAGTCAGTGCGAAGGGGCGGTGCAGAGGGGGCGGTGCGCGCGCAGGTTTCCTGCTTCTCGCAGGTTCCCGCTGGTTCTCGGTGTTGGGGACTCGGGAGCTTTTCCTATTAACCCGGCTGGCCCCAGATTTCTCTTGTCTGCCTGGAGCCAAGTCCCAGTCGCCATGAGGGGTCTCTCACGGGAGACCTATTTTTGCGTGCGTGGTTGGAGGCGCGTCCTGCACCTCTCAGACTTTCGGGAGGGCCCAGGTTCACACTGACAAATGAAGGCAAACACCTAATCTGCGGGGCCTGTGTACTAACACTGAATGCAGCTCTAATTCAGTGCTTCTCAAACCGGCATCAGCATCACCTGGAAATTTGTTAAAAATGCAAGGTCTTGGGCAGCAACCCAAACCTAGGGACTCAGAAATTATGCGGGTGGGGCCCAGCCTTCTGTGTGTGAACAAACTCTCCAAGGGATACCAATTTGAGAAAAGGGACTCTTGGTAGGTAACAGGGTCCACACGTATTTACTGCTGGATACCTAAGAGCCAGCCGTAGCAGCATCAACCTCATCATCATCACAAGTCCCACTGTGGGAGGGTAAATCAGAGACACCTCTCTACAGGGTAACTTGGAATATTTGTTAAAATAATGACTCTCTAATTCAGAAAGTAACAGCATAGGTGATGGTGATAATGTTCACGTGAAAGCACACTTTTTTACCATTTGGCTATTTTATTTTATTATTGAAAATACGTCGTGCGGGAGAGTTTCATAAACAACAGGTAGGCCTATTGTGCAAGGGCCAGATTCTTACAGGCCGCATGATTCAACATTTGAGAACATCAGGGTTAAATGTCCTCAGGGTTAAATGTCCTCAGGGTTAAATGTCCTTGAGTGGACACAGTAGAATGGACATGGTTTCAAGTTCATTACATAAGATGCTATGTCATTACTCATGTCTAATTCTCAGGCATTAAAAAATTATTCAAGACGCTTGTTGAGGAACGATACCAAGTCCTATTGTGCTAGGTATAGGGACCACTGCAATAGGAGCTTGTAGTGAGAGAGAGGGATTGAGATCAACTCTTATAGCCAAGGAACAGGTGGGGGCTAGGGGATGGGTTCTGGCTAAACTGACCTAACAGGATTCTTGTTGAAGGCAGGTTAGGATGATGAGCTGACACCTGGGGGGTGTTGGGGAATGAGGCACCTGATCAGATATCACCAGTGATCAGATACAGAGGGTAGTTCTGGTCAAACTGACTTTGGGATTCTTGCTGCAATGCAGACAGGAACATGGAAGTCTGGAAGTCAGGGCCTCGTTTAGAAGAGAATTCAGAAGAGCCTAAGTAGAGGTTGATCAAGGAGAATATCTTTGTCACAGGAACCAACACTTGCCCCTCTCCTGACTACCCTCTGGCACTCAGAGCAGCCAAATCCAGGTACAAATATCCGATCACGACATATCCCAGCTTGATGTCCATCGGCTGGAGGTTACCAGGCCTTGTCCTTGACAAGGCTGAATCAGCCTGCCACCTGAACCTGCAGCCCACCAGGGAGCACTCATTCCAGGAGAGGTGGAAACTGAGGTCCAAGGAGGCAATGCCAGAACGAGGCACAAAATGAAGACATCATGAAGACACAATTTCACAGTCGCTTCTGTCCATTTATCATTGCCCTCATTTACGTGGTCCAAATTAAAGGTAAGGGAAGCGGGGTGTACAGAAAGAGATTGGTGAGGGGCGCCTGGGTGGCTCAGTTGGTTAAGTGTCTCACTCTTGATTTCAGCTCAGGTCATGGTCTGAGGGGCCATGAGATCAAGCCCTGTGTCAGGCTCTGCGCTCTGACAGGGAGTCTGCTGGAGATTCTCCCTTTCCCTCCGCCCTTCCTCCACTATCACTCTTACTCTCTCTTGCTCTCTCTCTCTCTCTCTCAACTGAATAAATAAATCTTTAAAAAAAGAGAGAGACTGATGAGCATATAACCAGTTTCAAGACAATCCATCAGTTTGGTAACCAAGTACTTATTTTTGTTTCTGCTATGTATTCAACACTCACTGCCTCTCTTTTATGTGACAACCTAAAACCCCCTCCAGTCACTGCCTTGGTCTCAATCTTAGTACTTAGGCTCCTGACCTAACCTAATAGCAGGATATATAACAAAATAGATTACTTGTCATCTCTCACTCCCACTATAAGTTGTGGTTCAGGGACCTACCAACCTAGATTTCTATACATAGCAAAAGGGTCTCTCAAGAAAAAAGATTATCTGAAATAAGATTGTTTCAAGCCCCAAATGAAAATTTTAATGGAAAATGAACCCACATAAAATGCAATTCTTTTTTTTTTAAAGTTTTTTTTTTTTTTTTTATTCATGAGAGACAGAGGAGGAGAGAGAGAGGGAGAGAGAGAGAGAGAAGCAGGCTCCCAAGGAGCGGGGAGCCCGATGCGGGACTCGATCCCAGGACCCTGGGATCATGACCTGAGCCGAAGGCAGACGCTTAACCATCTGAGCCACCCAGGCGCCCTAAAATGCAATTCTAATGATTATAACTTAACAATGAAAAGTGGTTTTCGGGGTGAAATCTTCAGGATGATAGGGATGAGAATCTGAGAAGGGAGTGTATCAGGGGATTCCTGTAACTGTGCATTCTCTGTATAAGATGTGAATATTACCTGCTGTGGAATTAGAACGATGGCATTACCATGCATACCATAAAATCATAGTATTCAAAATGGGACAAAGGGATGAATATTCCAAGTTCCCTATATTGTCTAGGAGAAAGGTAAACGTATTTAGAACTCTGTGCACTAATGTGTTAAAATAAGTACTTGTAAATTTTAGCTTAAATAAAAGAAGTAAAATCAAAGAATATACTTTCCAAACTAGAAAAGAAATTGGGGATTATATATGAGTAGAAAGTATTTTTAAAGGATTGGGTAAAGAACCAGTGAGGCAAAGAAAAGCACAAAACCCAAACACATCAAACTTTACATTAAATTACTATCAAATAAACATTCAAGTGAGCATTTAGGGATTTTTAATGTCTCAAAATGCCCCAGAAGGATTAATTATAATTAATTTTTATATTTATAAGTTTGATTCTGCTTTTTGTTTGTTTATTCATTTGGGTTTTTTGTTTTTTTTTTAGATTCCACATATGAGTGAAATCAAATGGTATTTGTCTTTCTCAATCTGACTTATTTCACTTGGCATAATGCCATGTGGGTGTGTGCATGTTGTCAAAAACAGCATGAGCTCATCCTTTTTTTTCTTTTTTAAAGATTTTATTTATTTATTTGAGAGAGCTGAGCAGGGAACCCGATGCGGGACTCGATCCCGGGACTTGATCCCAGGACTCCAGGATCATGACCCGAGCCGAAGGCAGTCGCTTAACCAACTGAGCCACCCAGGCGCCCTGAGCTCATCCTTTTTATGGCTGCATAATACTCCATCCACATCTTCCTTATCCATTCATCTATAGATGAACTCCTAGGTTGCTCCCATATGTTACCTATTGTAAATAATGCTGCAATAAACATAGGGGTGCATATATCTTTTTGAATTAGTGTTTTTGTTTTTTCTTTGGGTAAATACCCAGGAGTGGAATTATTGGATCATATGGTATTTCTATTATTAATTTTTTGAGGAACCTCCATACTGTTTTCCACAGTGGCTGTACCAATTTACATCCCTACCAGCAGTGTACAAGGGTTCCTTTTTCTCCACATCCTTGCCAACACTTGTTATTTCCTGTCTTTTTTTATTTTAGGCAATCTGGCAGGTGTAAGGCAAAGGATTAAATTTTTCAAATTGATAGACATTATATTTAGAGCAGCTTTAGGTACAGCAAAATTGAGCAGAAAATACAGTGTCCCCATAAGCCTCTTCCCCCACACATGCATTCAGGTCCTCCTTCCTTCAACATCTGTGTAGGGCTGTGCATTTGTTATAATCCATGAACTAACATTGACACATCAGTAGTAAACAAAATGAATCCAGGGGCGCCTGGGTGGCTCAGATGGTTAAGCGTCTGCCTTCGGCTCAGGTCATGACCCCAGGGTCCTGGGATCGAGTCCCGTGTCGG